AGCAGGGTGAGATTCAAAATATTCGTTCCCCCCATAATATAGATGCACTGAGTAGCTCCTACCACCAGTGTGAGAGAGGTGTGTGGAGGGAAAGAAAGGTAAAATCATATATTAAAAAATGGTTTCTGATTGCCACAGAAATCATAACAGCTGAATGGAGAAAGATATTCCACAGGCATTTCAGCAGAATTACAAAGTGTGGCAAGATTTTACATTTCGATTCTCTTCCCTGGTTTGGCTTTGTTTTCTCAATACTTGTTTGATAACCCACAGACCATTCTCAGGCTATAGCAACAAATTATCTCTTTGAAGGTCTTCCTCATTTCCTGGCTGCGAAAGGCGTAGATCAAGGGATCAATCACCGAATTGCACATAATGAGAATGAGGTACATGTTAAAGTGAGACATAAAGCAAACACAGTAGAGGTTTTGAGGGCAGGAGATCATCAGGATGAGATGAAGGAAGAATGGAGCCCAGCAGACAATGAAGATGCCGAGAAGCATAGTCAGAGTGATGGCTCCTTTCATGCTGGTTCTTTGACGGACAGAGTTGTACCCAGGCAAAGCAGCTATTTTCTTCACGTGAGTGCGAGCCAGGAGGAACATGTGGATGTACAGTGAGACCATGAGCAACAACATGGTAAAAAACATAGTGATGAGACAAATGATCACGTAAGTCGATTCATAATAAAGAATGAAGATAATGCCACAACCTGTGCAAAACGTCCAGATGCACGCAATAATGAGCCCTGATCTTTTCACTGTCATGATGTTGTGATAACGCAGGGCATAGAAGATAGTGATATACCTGTCTACTGCTATAGCCAGCAGACTGCACATGGAAGCCACCACAGATATGCAGATCATTGAATCAAAGACATTGTCTATATGACGGACAAAGGCATCTTCCATAATTATGTGTCTATTGTTTATTAAGTATATCGTTATAGTCTCCCAGGCATTAGACACACTAACCAGCATGTCAGCCACTGCTAAACTGCAAACAAAAAAATACATGGGTGAATGCAAGTTCTTGTTCTTAACTATTGCACATATAACTAAGATATTTTCAAGGAGGCTTACAATGCCCAGAGTTAGGAACACCTCAGCCGCAATGACCACTTGCTCACATGGTGACGACTGGCTCTTGACAGTAGGCACAGTAAAGTTGCTGCCAAAGGCACTCAGGTTTAGTTCAGAAACATACAGTTGAGAGGATGTGTTCATCTCTGCAAGGAAACACGTTCTGTTCTTTCTGAGGGACTTGCCAAGGAGTGCGGTAAATGCATTTTCCAAAAGGCAAAAGACCCTGCCAAAAAAAATATAGCATGACAAGAACAGGCAGAAGTTGAGAAGATAAATATCACTTATTTCTATTTAATTCGGCTTGAATACCTGCCTCTTCCACACCGTATTCCTCTACTGATTCTAAATTAACCTCAGATTGGCTCCAAATTTTTCTACCTATCCTTACTGGGCAATTAAAACCACAGACTAATGAAGAGATTCATGTGCTCTTCATTCATAGTTTGTTTATTCTATTAGGTCCCCCAGAGTGAGCACAATGTCCTGGAAATTCTGCTGAACAACAAACAACAAACAGTTTTCAGAGTCTCAATTCTAGGTTTGAATTATTGCCACAGTTAAGAATTGGACATTTTCAGTAAAAGATTTTAATGCTTTCCTGACCTTTGTACTTAAATTTGCATGAACTCTATTACAAACAGCTTAACTGTGCAATGCTAACATGCTCACTTAAGAGAACAGTATTAAACCCCTAACCAAGGCAAATCCATACATTTCAGAATAGTCTAAGGTTACAGAATCAGTATGGGTGGAATTCTGTCATAAAAATACATTTTCTATTCTAGACATTGGGTTTTTTATTCAGTGCTCTTTCAGTAATGAGAATATTGAGGCTAAGCTGTAAGCCATCAGATTCTTAATAAGGGGAACAAAGCTGATTGTCAGTGACTTGCTGCAGAAAAAATTCAGAGCTTATCAATCTAAATAATTTTCATTTTTTAAAAGTAACCTTTGTTTTTAATCAAGAATTAACTGTACCTATTTACCAGAGTTGCTTCTTCAACTGCTCTTCCTCTTCATCGCCTGCTACCTTTCCTCCAGAGAACAGAAGTTTCAGCCCCCCTCCTCACCCAACATCTGGGGCTGGGGACTCCTTGGTGGGAATGGATGACAAAAATAGAGCAAAAGAAATGCGTAAATCCATAGAGTCAAGGCTGACCACGTATAAATTACTTACTGTGCAACTGCCTTTTTATAGACTCCAAGCAATAATGATTTCAGTACTCAAACTGTGGCTCCTCCTCCCCTTCTTTGCCCCTCTGAACTTCTCTTTTCACAGATGTTGTTAGCAAAGGCTTGGGTTTTTACCACCATCTAGTGGTCTTCTCTTGTCTTTCTAAATGAACAGTGATTCTGATCTAAAATTCATTGTGAGCTTTTTAAAATATTAAAGGGGCAAATGCACTAGGCATGCTCCTTTCCAAAAACATTTCCTTTTTGTTTTCTTTGCTGTTGCTTGTACTCACTGACAATAAGTTCATACTGCAACAGTACTCCAAAAGAGGTGAGAGCAGAAACTGAAGCTACTGTTCTAAGAATCCATCTTACATTCACAGTTATAATTTTGCAAGAATAGGAACCACACTGTTATAAAACTCAGAGAATGTACAGTCAAGCCCATCACACCACTAACAGAAGATGTAACTCAAGTAATTTGTGTGAAAAAATAGAACAAATACATGGTTGTGTTCCAGCCCCCTTGCTAGAATAGAGATTTTGATGCAGATGTGGAAGAAATATAGAACGCATCGTGCCAGGAGCCAGGACTTTCCAAGATGGATGTGACTTCCCCAGGTTTCACAGGGTCTAAGAGCTGGGAAACCGAGTGCTGAGTATTGCAATGGCTGAAGTCCCTCTGTGGGTCTAGCAGTCAGTCAGTCTGTGCTCATCCTAGGCCCTACCCAAAGGGTGGAAAAATCCGTCAGAGTCTTTTCCTTAGCAGATGGGCTCTGCTTCTGTGTGCAGACTGAGGAATGCAAAACAAACACCTTCCTGACACTACCAAATACACTTTGTGTTATCCACTAATCAGCCAGTCAAAAACCATGCAGGATTTGAAGTTACCGTGAGACAAAAAAGTCTCTACTTCTCCAAATCACCACTTCTCCACAAATTAAGGAGTTGGGGGGTTTTTTGCAGTATATAACAGATTTGAACACTTATTTTTAGCCTATAGCATTTTTCTTAAAGAATCGCCACCAACAAACGCAAACTTTATTGCTGTATGCATTGCCTTTTTTGTGTTTTCTGTGTTCAGATAGAGTTACTGCTAGCTTCACTCCAGGGATGCTTGAAGACACTTAGTCCCTGTGCCAAAGGAGACAGTGAAAAGCATTTTTATTCATTTGAGTAAAATGGCTCCTGTAACATTACACAGTTATAGTCTGCAGACGAACTTTGCATGCCCCTTTTCCCCACGACGGGCAAGAGAATTTAGATTATCACACAACAGAGGCAGCAAACTATGCTCGAGTGAAGCTGTTAGATCTGAGCAGATAACGCCAGCTAGTGAACAGCAATACTCCCTGTCATATCTAACCCACCTGTGTGACACATCTGAGCTCCTAGATCTTTGCTAAACCCAAAACAAAAAAATAGAGGATGCCCATCTGCAGTTCGCTTTCTGTTCTTTAATCTACTGCAAGTTATAGTTCTCCTACATACCTCTAGTACCTTTGTAGTTACCTCTTTAGGTAACTTTTCTTAGTTATCTTTGGTTATTTTTTGAAGAGTTTCTGATTTTCCCACTGTAGACCCTGGAAACCATATACCTAAAAGTAAAATTTTACTTTTTTCACTGTTCCTGTATCTACCAAGAACTGTGCAGTCGCTGTGCTCTTTCCACTTCCAAGTATTTCTCTTCCAGTATCCCATTTTTTTGTCTGTTATACTCTGTCTTTAAATTCTGACGGTCTTCCCATTTACATATTCCTCTGTATGTTCAGTTTAATAGAGTTCTTTGCAGCCCAGCTTACCTGCCTTTGCAAAAGTTCCCACTGTACCTGGTAGGACTCAGTAGCCCAACTGATTACAAGAGATAAACCACACATCAGACTGGATGGTTCAGCTGTCATTCTTTAGAGCAACACCTGGTCTCTCACGTATAAATTATGAATCAGCCTTTGCATTCTTCTTCCACATGGCAGGTGTAAACCCTGGTACAAGTGTCTATGCTAGACAAAGAAACTCCCTTATTTACAAACCTTGCAGAAAACGTTACCTGCCTGGAAACTGGGGTAGTGATACAGATGTAGTTTGTTTATGTTAGAGGATGAAATTAAAAAAACCCTTTTTTTTTCAGAAAAGAGAGAGTTTTATCGTTATATTGCTGCAGCAAGCAACTGTAAGCATTGCAGTGAGAGAAGCCAGTAGCTGAAGGGCACCCAGGTGAGTTATAAGCATTGTAAGTAAAGAGGCATAGGAGCAGATCTTTGGATTCTCTCAGGAAGAACCCAAGAGTGGCTTCACCTCCCACCTGGAGGACTCTTGACTGAATAGACTGGTCCTTCAGATGTTCATGATCTTGGCGTTCAGCTCCCTTGCTTGTTCAGTTAAATAAATTCTCTGCCTCCACAGACAGGGTGGCGCTTGGTGTTTTCCAGGGCCACAAGAATCACGTCTGGATTGCTGGTGTGAGTGAACAGTACCATGCATCACAAAGCTGGTGTTGGTATTTAGCTATTGGGCTATGCCGACATAGCACAGGACCTGACTCCTTGCGTGCACACAGAGCCGGCACCCTGAGGAACACAGTGAAGCCTCTGTGCTGTCCTCAAACCAGAGTTTTCTTTGCACAAATGGAAAGAGGAAGGGAGGTTGGACTGGGGGCTTGGGATGTGGGTGCAAAAGTCTCCCTGCAGCCTAGAAACAAGCACACCTGGGTCATACACCAAGGACCCTGGGTCTGGAGCCCTTGGGAGTGCTCCTGAGGTCCATGGTCATCCCAAAAGGCATAATAAAATGTATCTTCAGGAAAAGGTGTTTTGTTCTGTACTTCATGTAACATCTTACCTGGCATAAGAAAAATGCTAGCTGCTTAAAGTCCCTATTTCACTGCACTCACCAAGAGTTTGCTTGGGGTTCCAGGCAAAAATATCAAAAGTGCCCCAGAAGGACATCAGTGAATATAATAAAGAAGTAAAACACAATGCCAACAAAGAGACATCAGGGTCTGTTCAGGTCCCACGCCATTTCTTTCCATTGTGAAGCCATGAGAGAGATCAGAAAGCTGCTCCTGCCACATATCTGCCTCACAGGCTTCATCAACAGCCAGAGCAGGAGCCGTGACAGCATCACTGACAGAAACACCCAGCCCCTGCCTGCCAGCAGCACCACCACCAACCACACCAAAGCTCTCCTTGGCCCAGCACGTCCATTGGGACAGGAGAGGCCATGAGTACCCTGACCCATGGGCCAAGTTACACCATGTCAAAACCAGCAGGGAATTGCATGCCGACTTCATGACAACAAGATACTGATTTTATCAATGAATGTATGAATGAGGCCAACAGTACAACATGCCTCTGAAGAAGTTCCTGTAAGAAAAGCTTCTTACACTCAGCTGTGTGCTGGTATTAATCCATGTGAATCGTAACAGGTTCAGAGCAGAGGTTTACTGAAGTTAACACATAGACCTATACAACTTGTCTAGTGCTCATACATCAAAGCAACTTAATTCCAGTGTTCTTCTGTAGCTATTTTTATCAGCTCAACAAAAATAGATTTGTCCTTCACAATGTAGCTTTGGATTGGTGCTCTTGGCCTATTTCAAAATGTCTCTTCTGTCTATCCCTTGCCTATGCTGTCAATAACATAGTATTTCAGAACCCCGGGGTATCCTCTCAGACTGCATTCTGCTCTAAGAGATAACCCATGGATCCAGGGCAAAAGTGAAGACCGTGGCCTTCTCTGCATTTGGAAATATGTAACAAATGTTCTCTAACTTCTCACACTGAGAAAACCATTTCTCTTGACCTCTGCTACCCTGAGTAGCTTTGGCTGAGCCCCATCAAGATCCCCTCTGTCACCTCCTCAGCATTACCATCCAGTTAGCCTTTAATAAAGACAATTAATCCAGACCGAAAATAAAAAGCATCAGTCCTTCCTGTCTTTAAATAAAAGAGCTGGATGAAGTGGTGACAGTTCAGCCCCCTCCTCTGTACAAGGGACAGCTGAAATTCTAAAAGTTAGGTATTTGAGGTAAGCAGTGGTATAGTGAATACATTCTTTTACATTATGGCCCTAATCTTCAAAACAACACTTGAATGCTTTTTTTCAGGAAGAATCACAGAAAAGCAAGACTGAAAAAAAGACATCAAAATACCACGTAAACAGTGCCCTGTCAGAGGGTGGGATCAGCCATACTTAGTATGACTGCGCTAGCACTTCTAACCATCACCTCTTTCACCTGAGTCCTTCAAAACAGTTTGAGAGAATCTCTGGCCACTCTCAGCTAATACCTATCAGTGGTGCTTCTCGCATCAGAGTAGAAAGCCATGAAACATGCAATACAGTATAAAAGGCATTTTAGAAAGGCATATCCTAATAACCTAAACCGGACAATGTCATAACTAGCCCCCTAAACCATAAAAGGGTAATAAGGGGCTTAGTATCCATCATTTTTTAATGCGCCTTCTAATGGGAGCCAATTCCAGTAATGAATCATCCCCTAACATATTGTTAGAGCACGAGTCAGCAGTACAGACCTGGTGAATCACACAGAAGTGCCAGCTACACACTCAAAAAAACACAGATGACCAGTGAAAGACTGTAGAAACTTTCCGGCAGACAGGAGGGGTAATTCAGTAATGGACAAACAGACTGGGAATTAAAAAACAAAACCAAAACACTTCACAGGTTCTTACTGGATACTACTTTCTACAACAGAAAGGAAAGTATTTCTTGCTAGACCACAGAGAAGTTTTAATATGTCTTTATCCATTCGTATCATGATCTAAAATAAGTGATTAAAAATGCTACTTTAATTGCATATTCATGTCTCATTTCTGCAACCTTATCCTCCAGTATGGCAAAGGCAAATATTAAGAGCACATTGTTAATTTGCTTCATAAAATGCTTGTGCTTGAGAATATTTTTTTATATATATAAAATGCTCCTAACTTGTTGTGTAGTTCACCTTCTCAGTGGGACTTT